AATTTTAAACTCATCTTATGGATGCTTTTAAACTCATCTTATGGATGAGGTAACTTCCCTGCCTAGGACAAGAAAATGGAAATCTCTCCATAGGCTTTGCAATTGTCACACAAGCAGTGAAGAGGATAGGTGGTCAGGAAAACTGCAATTCGTAAATCCGATTTTAGGGCTTTCTAGGGGGGGAAACAGGCTGAGTCCATCTGTAGCTTGCATTTGCTTGTGTTAGGATGAGAATTTGTCCTGTCAACCTGCCTTCTCTCCGGGTGTCTCCTGCACTGCCTCCCCTTTTTTAGTTTGGTTGATTTGGAAAATTCCAGTCCACCTTAGCTAAAGTAAAAGTAAAATAAACAGTTGTAAAGTGAAGCTGAGATTAAAATTTTAAGTCTGCTTTGTTACTGTCTCTTCTCTTCCTACCCGGAGTAATTTCTAACAAAGCCCTCTTTACTGTTACTCCTTCTTCCCCAAGCCGCACCAAGGATAGAGTTGTTTTTTTGTTGTAGCACTGCACAGACTATAGAATCATGGCAAGATACTTAACCTCTCCCGCCCTTTCCTTCAAGTATTGAAGTAGATCTCAAAATCTTTTACAACACCAAATTTCTCTATATTATAGAATTTTACTGGGAGAATCACATTTATAGGTAACCTATTGTTTAAATATATATTTTAATGCTTAAAAAAAAGTGTCTCATCTCTAGATTCCATCTCTAGAAAATGTCATCAGCACACTTACCTGCAAGCATATGTGCTCCTAGCAACTCAAAAGTAACAATAAACAAAGGAGCAGTAATCGTTTTTTTCTTTAGTAAGAGTTGCTAGTACACAAAGTAAAGGAGCATAGCCAGTGGCCCGAGGGAATCTGGGAACCCGCTGCCCAGATTCTAATGCCTGTGTTAACCAGGCCAAGAGACCCAATGCTGGCTCTATCCATTCCAGATTAATTCTCCAATAGCTAAGCACTTAATCTGAGCAGCTTATAACCACAAAGCCATAAACTTGTCTTAAAGAATTATAATCCTCAATAGGAAGGAGGTTGGGTGAGGGAGTAAAGTCACTAATTAGAGGAAAGGAAGGGTTAACAGAGCACAGTATTTGCAGAGTGGCTATCAAATGAGAAATAGGATTCAAAGATAGGAACGTGACCCAAGCTGCACCAGAACAGTTTTCTGAGATTTTATCCATGCTCATTCCTCCCCCATCCTCCCCAGCCCCATGCAGTCTTCTCCCACTTTGGTGAAGGCTCATGGAGAAGTGAGACCAACTTAGATGGAGAGTTCGGACAATCACATTTGAATCCCTGAGGACAACTCTACAATTTTTCAGTTACATGAACTGAACTAATAAGTCCTTTGCTTTAGTGGGGGGACTGAATTAAGTTCAGACTGGGTTTCCCTACTGATTTTATGGGTTCTATTATGGTTACTACGATGAAACTAAAAGTGTGCATTTTCCCAACTCAGAATTATAAGCATTTAAAAAGATTTGTTTTGGGGTGCCTCCGTGGCTCAGTCAGTTAAGCGTCTGCCTTTGGCTCAGGTCATGATCCCAGGACCCAGGGATCGAGTCCCACAACGAGCCCCACAACAGGCTCTCTGCTCAGCAGACAGCCTACTTCTCCCTTTCCCTCTGCCTGTCGCTCCCCCCGCTTGTGCTTTCTCTTTGTCAAATAAATAAAAAATCTTAAAAAAAAATAAAAATAGATTTGTTTTACATAAAAATCAAGATTGGTTGTGACTATTAAATATAAGCATAATGTAGCCTCTGGAAAAATCTACAATTAAAATCAATTTGATATCCAAAGATTTAACATTTCCTTTTAAAACCTCCATCTAAAAAGTTTCAAAATATAAACTCAACAGTTTAATAGGCTGCACTGATAAAACAGATTACTTGGGACAAATCCTCAATGTTTTCTAGAAACACAATCTCCCTCTCTCTCCTCTTTGAGTTCCCATTTTACTGAATTCTTACTAAGTCATTCTTCTTTTTAAAGATTTTATTTATTTATTTGAGGGAGAGCGCAAACGCACAAGCAGGGGCAGAAGCAGAGGGAGAGGGAGAAGCAGGCTCCCCGCTGAGCAGGGAGCCCGATGCGGGGATCGATCCCAGGACGCTGGGATCATGACCTGAGCCGGAGGCAGACGCTTAACGACTGAGCCACCCAGGCGCCCCTCTTACTAAGTCATTCTATAAATGTGAAGCAAGTAGACAAAATTTTCTTCTGTTCCATGAATTACATTTTCTTCCAGGATGAGTCACTAAGTCTTTTGCATTGTGCTGTAGGTATAGCGCTCCTCAGGACCACAGACTGACATGACAGCGTCAGCGTTACCTGGAAGCTTGTTTGAAATGCAAATTATTTGGTCCCATCTCAGACCAACTGAATCAGAATCTCTATGGATGGAATCCCGGATTTTGTCCCAGTGATTCTTAGGCACACAGAAGTTTTAAAACTAATGCTGCTGTATGTTTACATAGTTATGTTTCTTTTTATTTTGCTCAAGCTCAACATAGGCAGCAGAACACATTCCATAAGCTCTGAGAGCGTAGGTGACTTAACACTTCCCACTCTGAGACCAGTTTATTTTCTTCTTCAAGATACAGTTCGGAGCTGAGTCTTTATCTATTCGCTTTTCTGAAGCCTAGTGAAAAAGAGCCAAGGACTGTGAAGGGAAAGGCTCACCTGGATTATCAAAAAATATTTGAACTTTGTTTTCTCTTCTGAGATTAAGCTGTCTCTACTAGTCAAGAGGGAAGGTCCTCATACTATTTGGGAATGTCAGTATTACTTCCTCAGGAATTCTGGAGGTTGGGAGTAATGATGGACAATGACGTAAACTGCTGCTTTCTGCTCCAAGCCAGCACAGAATTACACCACAGGGTTGTTGTTAGTTCGGCAACACCGAAACACAAGTGGACCATAAGGCTTGAGCAGTTTAAGGTCCAAGAGCTGTAAGACTTCAGTGCCAGACTGACAGGGAGGGGTGAAGTGTTAGCACTGGTTGGGTTAAGAAGTCATTAGAAAGTGAACATACTATTTGATACCAACAGTTTTTACAAAACAAAATTTCCTAAATACAGTTATCATGTGAAATGTTCTAGCACAGATTTAATTCCACAAAAGAGGGGTTCCTTTCACATCAGCTTAATAGAAGTTTATTTTCACAATGCTATGGTAGTAAGCCCCTAAACTTTACAATCCCTCATGTTTCTCTCAAGAGATATTTTTAAAGCCTTAGTGTTGAATATCATCAAATCATGCTTAAAAATTCTGCAGGCTGGTTTTAAAATCTGAATTAACTAAAATTATGACAATGATAAAATGCCAACCAATCAAGGTCCCAAACTAACAACATTCAAAATAAGAAAGAATTATTATTGGAATCCTGTTGTATTTTCACAATGGTAAAGGCTGACCAACTGCTGTCATTAATGTTAATGCCATAAAAAAAATGTATTTATATTCTGAAAGCATATTTGTCTTGCACATCTTGACACTGAGGTATAAAGCCATGTTTTGTCAACATTTTTTATTAATCTAACAAGTAATTTCTTCCATAACAGCAACTGTGGTAAAAAAACCCCAATAACATTAGCCAATCTGCTATAATGTTCTATAGTCTTCTACTTAATATAATACATAAACATTTATAAACTACACAGCCACACCAATTTGTAAGCAACTAATAAATTCTGAAACGTTAGAAATATAATAAAACTAATTCTAAATAGTTTCTAACTTTCCCCTTTTCCTTGTTTATATTCATGCTTCCCACTAATTTTTTCACTAGACTCTATTAAATCCTAGATTTAAATAGGGTCAAAGGTAAAACAGTATTGAGATGCGTGTCAAAAGAACACACTGAGTTTTATCAGTGTCTAAGCCACTTTAAAGCTAGTCTCCAAAAGACAAGTTATTCACCCAAGACAAACATGAAAAAAGTTAGAATTTAATCTTAAGTTTTTCAGGGTTGACCTGTCACATACATGGGAACATCCAAAGGCTCGAGTTTGGAAGGTCTAAATGCCAAAAGGTTAATTTGTCACTAGTGGAATGGCCATCCGCTGAAGAAGGGCCCTACACACACTCAGCACGGTGTTCAACGTGCAGAAGACAGACATTTGGGCTGCTACAAATGAAGGTAACGAGGCTTTAAGCCTTTACTGTACGGTAAAATATTACACCTGAATAATAACCTCTAAGTAACTTCCAGATTAATCTCTATTGACTCTTGCCACTGTATCGACTTAGGTTAACAGTTCTGCAGTTTTAATTAAAAGAAGTCATTAAATCAATTTTCTGCAGTGAATTATCAGACTACCTTCCTGTTAGCTAGAAATTACAGTATGTTCCACCTTGAGGCTATAAAATCATGATATTACCAGACATTAATTCAACAAATATTCAGTGATAAATGAAGTATATGGTTGTGCTAGGTGTTTGGTAGACCAAATGTTGAATTATCTCACAATTTTTCCTCAAATCCCTTTATTTCTAGCAACAAATCTAGACCTACCCCTTCTATTCCCATATGGAAGCTAAAATATGTTAAGACTGCTGATATATGACTATTTTTCTATATTATGATCCTATTTCTGCTAAATTACCTTTACAGTTCAGCAGTTTAAGTTTTTTGCTTAAAAAAACTATCTTTTTAGAACTCTGAAAAGATATTAAATTCACTGAATAAAAAACTTTTCGATTTTGTTCCTTAAATATAATAAAATTCTGATATATGATGTTAAACAAGTTAAATTATTAGACAAGTAATCTCTATTCACCTAAAATTAATGGTGTAAAGAGGTTTAACTGAACTTTCAAGGGAACTAAGTTTCAATTACCCTAAAAATGGTAAATGACTTATTATTTGTGTGTGAAACTAAAGTATGTTCCTTATGAAATTATATGTAAGTCAAAAACAAAAATTGAGGAAGACAACTTTTAAATATAATGTTAATAGGTACGCTGGGTAATAAATTCAAACTTTTTATTTGAATTTATCTGCTTAGTTTTTTATTGAGTTAAGTATAAAGGCCCAGTTAATCAACTCATTAGATTGGTCAAGGCAAGACACTCGAACTACATAACAATATTTAAAAAGCAGTTGGTCTTTTAGTAATTCTCTGGTAATCACACACACACACACACGCACATACACACAAATTGGTAGAGTACTCTGGATATAGGATTTCCCCCCATAATCTCGTCTAATGCACGGTTCACAATCTGCAGTATTTTGAAAACTGTGTAAACTGGACATGACCAAATTAAAGATGCCTGATAACCTCTTATAAAGTATTGGGGAACTTCAGCTGTATTCCCAAAAGATCAATTTTAAACTATGAAAAAGGAAAATTCATATAAAATCACAACAGATTTAACAGACATCTTCGAAAAGAAAGTCAAATTGTAACTCAATTTTCTACTTTTCCAAATATGACTAAGGAAAAAAGGTACAAGTGGTAATGTCTACATTTTTTAAAAACTGTTAACTGAGTGGATTTGGGGAAGAAAAAAAAGCTATACAGTATTATTGCACTCCACGAATGTGCAGAATTCCAAAATGTGCCAGCACTGAAAAACTGTCCTGCATTGAGGTTTTTCAAGAGGTACAACGAGCCTGCCAAGAAAGCATCTGGTCTGTACTAACAGCTTGCTGTCTTCAGTACAGGCCTTCATAATGTCAGTCACGCTGCTCTTGCAAAAAATCCCTTAATGTCTGAAAGAGAAAAAAGAATATTTTATTTCAAAATTCACTTATAAAATCAACCCATTGATAAGAAAAGAACTGAGAACATCTCTGCTATGCAAAAGTTAACTAACATTCAACTCTCTGTGTTCACACACGTTTGCTTACAAATTTTCTATCTCGAGCATGTTAAAAGAATCTGCATACTCTTAGGAACTAGTTATTTGCAGGTAAAGAGAAGACATATATATAAATATTCTAGCATAATATATCAACTCTGACTATTAGGAGTTCCAGTCAAAAAAGTGATGTTACATAAAGGCCCAGTTATTAACCCTTGAAGATAAAATTAGTAGCACAACCTTACCTTGTTTTGGCAGGTCCAAACGCTCTTGATCACTTAATAAATTTTAATAAAGAAAACATCCATCTATTAAATCTTAAATTGGGAACTCAAGTGGTAATATATGGAATATCTGGTATCTTTTGTGATGAGAATGATATCTATAAATGGTTACTGTATTCTTAAACTACTTACAAAAGAGTTTTCAGTGCTGATAGGTGGGGCTATGATCGATGATGTGGGATTGAATCCATATGCACATTGAGCTTCATTTCATTGTCAAGAATTTGAACAAGCTGTTGCATGGATGGGAGGTGACCAGATTCCAGCTTAGACCACACAGGCACATCTATAATAAAAATAAACAGTACCATCCCTTAAAATTAAACATGAGTCTAAAATTAAAGATGAGTTCCACAAATATTTATTGTCTATATATACAGCTGGGGATACGGTAGTGAACCAGAGAATTACCCTTCCTGCTGGTATGGAGTTTACATTCCAGTAGGGGAGATACGAAAAGCACTACACCAATAGCTACAAATCACAATTGTGTGCTAAGAATTAAAACCAGAAGATGCTGAGGGACATAGGAGGCTAGAAAGGAGCCTTTGTATTTATTAAGTGAGAGGTATCACTAAAATTGAAAAATATTGTCATTAAAAGTGAGAGCTGAAATACAGGAGAAGAGGGGTACAAGGGAAGCTGGAGAGGCAAGCAGGGTCTAGATTAGGGTCAGCAAACTATAAAGCACCAGACAGCAAGCATTTTAAGCTTGGGAAGACATACAGTCCATCACAGCTGCTCAACTCTTAATTGTAGTCTGAAAGAAACAACAGGCAATATATAAATGAGTAGGCACGGTTGTGTTCCAATAAAATTTTATTTACAAAAAAAGGCAGCTGGACATAGGGTCCGCGTGGCCATGGTTTGCCAATCCTGAGGCTACATCAAGCAGGGCCTTTTGGGTGTTATTAAATGTTCTGGTCTTTATCTTGAAGACAAAGTAAAGCCACTTAATACACTTGAGGCAGTGAAGCAACGAGATGAAAATGATGTGCATTAAAAAAAAAAAAATCACTCTACTGTTTGGAGCTGGTATCAGATTTTTCTGTAAGCAGCCAGGTAATAAATATTTTAGGCTTTATGGCTCAAGAGAAAATCAAAAATACCTCATAGGTAATTACATAACCAAAGAAATAAATTTCCACAAATTTTTCATTGATGAAACTCAAAACTTTAGGTACAAACACTAAAATTTGAATTTTATGTAATTTCCATGTGCCATAAAATAGTCTTGATTTTTTTGTAACCATTAAAAAATTAAAAAAAATACTGTTAACTCATAGGCTATATCTGACAACCTCTAGTTTAGAGAGGGTAACAAAATAATCGTGATAAAGATAATCAGAAGTAGAACTCTGAGAAATGTAGAAGGTAGAATTAAGAATCAGACTTGGTAATCCATTAGATATGGAGACTAAGGGAGAAACTGAGGTTATCCTAGCTTTCTGACATGGGAAACTCTGGGTAGAATGATAATGGTGCCATTATAAATAAAGGAGCAATGCCAGGGAAGGAGCAAATTGGAGTACCCAAGAATTGCAGGAAGCAGAGATAATCAACAGTTTGGGAGGAGTTTAAGATTCCCGGGTATACCAATGTTTATAGCAGCAATGTCCACAATAGCCAAACTATGGACAGAGCCTAGATGTTCATCAACAGATGAATGGATAAAGAAGATGTGGTATATAAAAAAAAAAAAAAAAAGATGTGGTGTGTATATGTGTGTGTGTGTATACACACAACGTATTATTATGCAGTCATCAAAAAAATGAAATCTTGCCATTTGCAATGACATGGATGGAACTAGAGGGTATTATGCTAAGCAAAGTAAGTCAATCAGAGAAACACAATTATCATACAATCTCACTGATAGGAGGAATTTGAGAAACAAGACAGAGGACCATAGGGGAAGGGAGGGAAAAATGAAACAAGACGAAACCAGAGAGGGAGACAAACCATAAGAGACTCTTAATCTTAGGAAACAAACTGAGGGTTGCTGGAGGGGAGGTGGTGGGAGGGATGGGGTGGCTGGGTGTTGGACATTGGGGAGGGTATGTGCTATGGTGAGTGCTGTGAATTGTGTAAGACTGATGAATCACAGATCTGTACCCCTGAAACAAATAATACATTATGTGTTAAAAAAAAAAAAAAGATTCCCAGGTATAGCATCTAAAAGAGAGATCTAGAGCTCTCTAGAGTTATACATTCAGGGGTCATCATATGGACATAATTCTCAAGCTAGGGGAGTTGAGGACCATATAAAGTGATAGTTTTGCATATTATGAAAAACAGAAAAGCCCAATGGTCATTATAAATCATTTAAAATGTGTTACAGAATGCAAACTATTCAGAACCCACCATTCAAAGTTATCTCAAATGCACCTGTTGACATACACTGGTTCTCAATCATGTTGCTCAAGAAGAAAACCATCATACATGCATAGACCTTATTTTCTTGACCCCACTGCCAGATGCTAGGAGCTTGCATAAAACATTACAACTGAAGACAGTAATCTTTTAAATACAGAGTCTCATTTTTATTTGGTAACGGCTGTTTTTAAATCTACTTTAAAAGTTTCTATACAGGGGCAGGGGTGCCTGGGTGGCTCAATCAGTCAACCGTCCGACTCTTGGTTTCGGCTCAGGTCATGATCTCAGGGTTCTGGGTTGTGGTATCGAGCCTCATGTTGGGCTCTGCACTCAGTGCAGAACCTGTCTGAGATTCTTTCCCCTCCCTCTTCCTCCCACTCTGCTCCTCCCCCTGCTCTTTCACTCTCTCTCTAAAATAAATAAATAAGTAAAATCTTTAAAAAAAAAGTTTCTATACAGACTATTATTGCTATTCTGTATATTCAGATAACATACATGGAAAAGAATACCAGCATAAGAAGGGTTTATTTCACCATTTTTATAAGGTATGAATTCACAAGAGACTAGTGATGCAATAATCTGCAACTCCATGTATTCAATACAACCTGTCCATGTTCCAAACAAATCGTTTTAAGTCAAATAAGAAAAAAGTAGATTAGAAAGAGCTAGCATATTAAATTATATTCGCTCCCCTTTTGAAGGCAAATCTATACCCTTTCAAAAGAGGCTAGAAGTTCCTTGGTGGACAGAAAGGTTTTAATTTAACAAAATCACCTGACTAAAAACAGGATGTAATGAGGATGTAAATTCACAGCAAGTTACTTCAAAAAAGTAAATAAAAATGCCCACAGCGAGTGAGAAAAAGCTCTCCTCCCATCCCACTTGAACTAGGTGGGCTTTGATTTCATAGAGGTTACCCTCGCATTTGGAAACAGTATGTCTATTTTCACGGGAACAATACACAAGGAAGTGTCAGGAAAGCTAGAGCTTTCAAGTACATTCCTCTTCCCCAGCCGATTAACAATGTTATATGTCTTCAGAAGTAAAATGCACTAAGTTGGAATCAATAGAATAAATATAACACAAAACATCATCAGTACTTAACTTTCAATTCTTAATCTTATGCATATCAATCTTACTAATGCTAGGTAGAGACACAGTTCAATAAGAGGAAGCACCTGAGGATGTTTATGTTAAGAAGCCTTGCCTGTTACTGGAAATAAATGGTTCCCTAAGAAAAAGAAGCATAGATATGTAGGAGTCCACTAAAGGTAGTTTCAGCCTAGACCTAAAGAACAAGACCAGAGAGAGGACTCCAAAACAGAATACTCCTTAGAAGGAAACCTAAGCAATCCCATCCAAGAGAGAAATATAATTAGTCCCATTCCTCACAGCCGAAAGATAAACCCTCTAGAAAAGATGATTTTAAGTAAAACAAATGAAAGAAATCTAAAAAGAATGTATGCCACAGCAAGACCCTACAAAGGATAAAAGAAATAGCACAAGATTCATATCTATCTATCTCTCTCTATATAAGGACAAATAAAAACAGACAAAATTTTAGTAAGAACAAATCCGTAATGGATTTATTCTTGGAAATGTCATTTTTAATGTGAATAAACCCATTAATACCCATAAAGTTAATATAAAAGGCCTACATTATGTGTATATTATGTTTTGTTGGATATGATTTGACCGAATCTATATAATCAATATCAGGTATTAAATTATTTTGTGCCCAGTTTCTACTAAAGTCACACCTGCCTATCCTTCAAATAGTAAAAAGATAAAACCCATTTTTTTTTTAAAGATTTTATTTATTTATTTAATTGACAGAGAGAGAGAGGGAACACAAGCAGGGGGAGTGGGAGAGGGAGAAGCAGGCTTCCCACCAAGCAGGGAGCCCAATGTGGGGGCTTGATCCCAGGACCCTGGAACCATGACCTGAGCCGAAGGCAGTCACTTAACCAACTGAGCCACCCAGGTGCCCCAAAACCCAATCATTCTTAATACATAATTATAAAAACTAAGGCCAAGAAAAAAAATCACAAACAAAAAACTAAGGCCAAGAAAGGTTAAGTGCCATGCCCAAAGATTAAAAAGTGATTAAAGCTGAAATAATACAAGTGAACAGGTGAATCAGCAACGAGTACTTAAAAAAACCAAACAATCCATTAAAATATTTTCATTTACAACCTAAAAACCTACAACTATCAAAACTATTAGGTTACATACCTTATTTTCTTGACCCCACTGCCAGATGCTAGGAGCTTGCATGCCAAAGAAAGCAAAAGGATCCTTGCCAACAATTATTAAGCCTATTAATACTAGTTTGAAGACTGACAGGAAAGATGCTATGTGTCTATCGAAAGAAAAAAAAAATTCATCAGAAGCCACAATTCCTCACCTAATTCAAAACTTCATAACTCAAGTATATGTGTATAGACAATTTCTAGACACCAAATCTAAAGGTTACTAATTACAAGTAGTGAAAAAGATAGTGACTAAAGCTTATTGTGGAGTTTTAAAACAAAAATGTTTAATATCTTTTAAATCAATCAAAAATCAACTTGTAAAAATATACAGTATTAGCCTTTAAAAATACTATTTTAACAGTACAGACTTTGTATAAAAATTTGGGAGTTCTTGATCTATTTCCACAGGAAAAATTATATAAGAAAACACATCCTTAGAAGGTTACCATCTCTGAAATAATCCTCTTTTCCTTCTTACAGAAAAATTCTTCCATATTTGGATCAAATAAACTTGCTATTTATAAAACAGTGTTCTCTGTTTATTGTAACCAACTAAAAAATTATAATAACCAAGAAAAGTTAATTGAACTAGTCCACAAAAGTTTACTCACAAAAGTGAAAAAAATTCACTTTAAAAATTCCTTTTAAGTTACTGAAATTTACTTACCTATATATGGGTTGAGGGAGGTAATTTTCTCCTTCAATGCGGATGTCTGGGTACCGCTGGCTTATAACCCGCATGTACTCCTCAAACACCCGCCTATAACCTCAGGAAACACTGCAGAAAAATAAAAGTGCTTCTGTTAAGCGATTTAGAATATGCCTACACTTACTTTGCATTTAGACAAAGCCTAAAAATTGCCAAGATTAAAAAAGCGTTTCTCACAAACAGTGACAAAGTAGTAACAACTGATGCTCCCCACCATGTATATCCATCCATTAGAACATTAAACTTTATAGATTTGGGTTATTGTTGGGCAACAGCAAATACCTATTCATATATGTCAGCATATTTTGAGCTCTCAAATCAAGTTGCTTTTTGTGGGGTTATCAATGAGGATAAATACTGAAATGACAACAATTCTTATACATCTGAAATAGGCACTTTCAAAACTGGGCACAGAAAGGTTAAAAAATACCAAGGCATGAGACATGAAAACTTTGGTTCTTATTCCTACTCTGCCTGTAACTGGGCAAACGCCTGCTCAATCACAATAAAAGGAACTTAAAGAACTCTTAAATCCCTTCTGACTCTAAAATTTGCTTCTACTTTGCAAAGGAAAACAAAGATTGGGAAGGTAATTTTCAGCAGTATGACAGCAATCCATAACATTACTCCAGAAATTATGTCAACAGCATCAAATATCTCCATTAAAATTTCTGAACAACTATACTGTGGATATATATTTCCCCAGCAAGAAAGGGGGAAAAGGCCACCAGAGAGCATCTATAAGGGGAGGATACACTGAAAACTTTAAGACACTGATGAAAAAAATTGAAAACACAAATAAATGAAAAGATATCTTGTGCTCATGGATCAGAATTTATATTGTAAAAATGTCCACACTACCAAAAGCAATTTACAGATTCAATGCAATCCCTATCAAAATTCCAATGGCATTTTTCACAGAAATAGAACAAACAATCCTACAATTTGTATGGAACCACAAAAAAACCAGAATAGCCAAAGCAATCTTGAGAAGGAAGAACAAAGCTGGAGGCACCATGCTTCCTTATGTCAAAGCTATATTACAATGCTACAGCAATCAAAATTGTATAGTAGCAGCACAAAACAGACATAGATCAATGGGACAGAATCAAGAGCCCAGTAATAAACCCACAGAAATATAGCCAATTAATTTACAACAAAGGAGCCAAGACTGCAGAAAGGATCGTCTCTTTAACAAATGGTGTTGGGAAACTGTCAGCAACGTGAAAAGAATGAAAATGGACCAACTATCTCCCATCAGACACAAAAATCAACTCAAAATGGATTAAAGACTTAAACATAAGACCTGAAACCATAAGCATCCTAGAAGAAAACACAGTGGGTAAACACATTGACATTAGTCTTGGCAATGATTTTGTGGATTTGACCATAAAAGCAAAGGTATCAAAAGCAAAATAAACAAGTGGGACTATATCAAACTAAAAAGCTTCTGCAGGGCAAAGGAAGCTATCAACAAAATGAATAGGCAACCTACAGAACGGGAGAAAATATCTGCAAATCAGGTATCTGATAAAGGGGGTTAATATCCAAAATGTATAAGGAACTCATACAACTCAATAGCCAAAAGTCAATAATCTGACTAAAAATGGGCAAAAAGACCTGAACAGACACTTTTCCAACGATGACATAAAGATGGCCAACAGAAACATGAAAAGGTGCTCCATATCACTAATCAACAGGGAAATGCAAATCAAAATCAGAGAGAGATATATCCCCATACCTGTTAGGATGCCTATCATCCAAAAGAGAAGAGATAATAAGTGTTGGCAAGGATGTAGACAAAAGAGAATACTTGTGCACTGTTGGTGGGAATGTAAATGGTGCAGCCACTATGAAAACATTTCGGAAGTTCCACAAAAAATTAAACATAGAACTACCATATGATCTCGCAATCCCATTTCTAGATACACCTGCAGGAAATGAAATCATTTTATGGTCAAATCCACAAAATCGTTGCCAAGACTAATGTCTAAGAGGTATCTGCACCCCCATGTTCATTTTAGCATTACTTAAAATAGTCAAGACATGGAAACAACTTAAATGTCCATCGACAGATGAATGGATAAAGAAAATGTGGTATAGGGCGCCTGGGTGGCTCAGCTGGTTAAGCGACTGCCTTCGGCTCAGGTCATGATCCTGGAGTCCCCGGATCGAGTCCCACATTGGGCTCACTGCTCAGCACGTAGTCTGCTTCTCCCTCTGACCCTCTTCCCTCTCGTGCTATCTCTCATTCTCTCTCTCAAATAAATGAATAAAATCTTTAAAAAAAAAAAAAGAAAATGTGGTATAAATACACACAGGAATATTATTCAGCAAAAAAAAAATCCTACCATTTGCAACAATATGGATGAAACTTAAAGGCATTATGCTAAGTGAAATAAGTCAGACAGAGAAACACAAATTGTATAATTTCATTTTACATGGAATCTAAGAAAGCCAAGCTCAAAGGCATGGAGAGTAGACTGGTGGTTGCCAGGGGCTGTGGAATAGGCAAAATGGGGAGATGGTGGAAGGATACAAACCTCCAGATGCAAAACAAATTTTAGGGATCTAATTTACAGCAAGGTGACTGTAGCTAACTATACTGTATTGTATACTTGAAAGTTGCTAAGAGAAAATATTAAATGTTCTCACCCGATAAAAAAGGTAATTATATGAGGTGATGGATGTGTTAACTAACCTTACTGTGGTAATCATTTCACAATATACATGTAAATGAAATCATCACCTTAACTCTACATAATTTCTATTTGTCAATCATAATTCAATAATGTTGAGAGAAAAAAAGGAGGTGGTACCACCAAATCAACAGAAGAGCTTACAAATTCAGGTAAGATTGTTAAACACTTAACCACATTAAGTTCTAAGCTAAGGAACATATAAAGCAAGGAAAGTACAGAGGAAGCAGAATCAGTAACTAAGGTGCCAACTTTGTCGATCACACTGTCATCAAGGAAAAAGAAACCAACCACCAGCATCAGGTTTATATCTGGCAGGGTATAACAGTCCAAATATTAGTAGATCTCAATTTAAGAAAACTCACTTGGGGCGGGGGGGGAGTAAGAGAGAGAGAGTCACCAGTTTTCTTCACAATTAATACCTTCTCTACACTTAGAATAAAAATTTCACAAGAGATTAAGTTCCTAAAAAGCATGAAATTTTTGCAAAAGGAGACAAATTTCTACAGCTAAATACTTAACTCACGAATCTCCACATACTTTGTTTAGTAAACATTCACCTTAGCTAATATTTTATTATTACTGTGTTAGAGTCACCAAATTATAGTATTTTGTCAATTGCTCTCTCTATAAGAAAATTTTTAATGGTGCTTTTGTTTTGAGGATATTACAAAAAATACCTATATGCCTAACTACCTTGAAACCAAGAAATGGCAACTGATTTCAATGCCCTCAAGTTTGCACCAGTGTTTACAATGGAGTTAATTATCTAAAATGATATTCTCTAACTTTTAATGAAACATTGTGAGAGCTAGAGCCAGTTAATTGAGTTGAAACTTGTTTTTTTTATAGATGGAGAAAATATGAAGCCCAAAGAGATGAAGTGACTTTCCATGGTTATACATCCATATATACTATTTATTCACTCACTCAAATACTTATTGAATGTCTACTACATGTCAAGCACTATATTAGACACTGGGCATGTAGTAATGAGTGACACAGATGTGGTCCCTGCCTTAGTAAGGGGCTGAGAGACCAGAACATGGACTCTGTGATTTGAGATCCTAGCCCTTTCCACTAGACCCCAATAAAACAGTTAGATGGTGCAAGAGCTGTTCTTCCCTTTGTCCAGGAAATAAGTTCCCTTTGGCCAAAATGCCACAAGCAAGTACCTATATAGTTGACTTTCTTGATGGCAGAGATCTCTGAAGTTTTTCCATGATGAAGACCTAGAGATTCTCCCTCTGGGAGAACTAAAAACCTTGGGCCCCCATAAGTCCCTCATATTTGTTCTGGGAGTTCCAATCCTTTGCCAAGGGGAGCCCTAAGAGGCCCAGCTAGAGAGGTGTATTTATGTGCAGGCAACACTTCTGGTCAGATTCCTCCTAGTCACCTACTTTTCTGGCCACTGTGCTCAGAAGCCTAGCTGTATCCTCTGTTCTTCCAGTCCCAAGTCTTCAGTATGGTCTCAGACCTTTGGATCAAACTCCAAATGGAATTAGTCCATAATCTTGAAATCCAAAAAGGACTTTAAAACTGTACCTTTTTTCAAATTTTCAGTTATAAAACGTTAAGTCATGAGGACAGAATGTACAGCATAGTGACTATAGTTAGTAATAGTGTATGGCATATTTGAAAGTAGCTAGGAGAGTGGATCTTAAAAGTTCTCATCACAAGAAAAAAAAATTTGTGACTGTATGGTGATTGCTGTTAACTGGACTTACGGTAGTAATCATTTTGTACTACATACAAATATTGAAATCTTTATGTTACACAACTGAAACTAATATGTCAATTATACCTCAACAAAAACACAAAAACAAAACAAAAAAACTGTACCTATTTTATTTCTGAAAGAAGAAGTTTACAAAACTGACACAACATATTTTTAGACAAGTTTACTTACATATAAGTAAACTTTCCTCCTTATCATTGCCTCCAGAATTGTGAAGAAAACCTAAGGAACTTTTTTCCTAAATAATTGTTTTCCCAAAATCAATTTTCCTGTTTTGAAACAGCAATCTCTACTGCTTACAGATGTTTTCCAAAACGAAACATACCTGGGGTTTACTGAGGTGGACAAAATGCAAAATTCAAGGCACACATGGTGAGGAGCCAGTCATTTCCAGTTCTACCACCACACCCAGCTCTTCCAACTTACTTCATTCTTTCTGGGTCCATGAGTAAAACTATGACTTCCAGTATACCCCAACACATAAATACGGAAACATGCTAAAAATATGCTGCAGCAGCTGCCTCTTCCTCCTGCAGTGGTACCAAAGGTCCTTAAGAAGTAGATTTAAACTCTGAAATCTTAACGTTAAGTCCTAATCACTTTGCAAATCCCTAGTAATATAGAAATATCTT